AGAGAGAGGCCCCTGAAAAAAGAGAAACTAAGACTAAACATTGCCCGTATCACGAAAGAGACGGACACAATCTGCAGGAGTGTAAAGCGTTCTCGGCGAAACCCCTGGAAGAACGTACGGAGTGGATCAAAGACGCCCGCCTATGCTTTCGCTGTTTCAGCCCTTACCACGTCGCGAATCGGTGTAACACCCCCGTACAGTGCGCTATCTGCGGAGACAAGCGTCACAGCGCCGTACTGCATAAGGAGAAGCGGCCACCCTCTAAACCGGAGAATGAAACAGTCAACCCAAAATGTACCGTGCTCTGTGGACCTACAGGAGGCGTGTCCTGCAGCAAGACCCTGCTGGTGGACGTCTATAGCCGGCGTAACCCACACCTCACTAAGCGCGAAATCCCTACCCCAGACATGGCAAGGAGTTTCCCTCACCTTAAGGCCATAGCGCACGAAATACCTCCCATAAACGAGACAGTTAAGACTCACCTTCTACTTGGTCGAGACGCACCGGAGCTTTTAAAAGTCAGGGAGTTCAGAAATGGCCCGAAAGGAGCCCCCTGGGCTCAGCGACTGGCCCTCGGCTGGACCGTCACTGGTCAGACGTGCCTTGACTTCGCCAGTGGTCCCGTACACGTCCTCACTCGCCTCACCAGCCTGACCACTGTTACTGAGAAAGAACTGGAGACCGGAAGCAGAATTTACGAGCTAGTACCTTGCCCCAACCAGATCAAGGTTACAGACCCCCTCTTTGAGCGTGCCACTGACGACATATTTAGGAAGACACGAGGTGACAACGAGCCCGGTCTCTCCTGTGAGGACCGTAAGTTTCTGGAGATAATGGATAGAGGTATACACAAGAACTCAAAGGGAAACTGGGAGATGCCACTACCGTTTCGTAACGAGCGCCAGACTATGCCGAACAATCGAGTTCAAGCTATGCAGCGCTTACAAGGGCTTCTCAAGACGTTTGCCAGGAAACCCGAAATGAAAGCGGACTATCTGGAGTTTATGGGAAAAATAATCGACAAAGGCCATGCCTCGGCTATCCCAAGTGAAGAAGTTCCGCCTCCTCCCGGCCGTTCCTGGTACTTACCGCATTTTGCAACTTATCACAATACAAAGCGCACCATTCGCGTCGTATTTGATTCCAGTTGCGAGTTTGAAGGAGTTTCATTGAACAAAGTACTTTTACCAGGCCCTGACCTGATGAACAACCTCATTGGAGTCCTCATGCGCTTTCGCAAGGAGAATATAGCAGTAATGTGCGAAATCGAGCAAATATTTCATTCATTCTATGTTGAGCCACCGCATAGAGACTTCCTTCGTTTCCTATGGTTCGAAGGGAACGATCCGTCAAAGCCCATTATAGAATATCGGATGAATGTACACTTATTTGGCAACGGACCCAGTCCCGCAGTCGCTACCTACGGCCTACGCAGAACAGCCATTGACGGCGAGGAGGAGCATGGCGAGGAGGCCAAAAAGTTCATTTGCCGTAACTTTTACGTCGATGATGGCTTGACCTCGTTTTCATCTACTCAAGGAGCGACAGACCTGGTTAAGAGTGCGCAAGCCACCCTAGCCACAGCTAACCTTCGACTTCACAAAGTAGTTTGTAATTCTGTGGAAGTCATGGAAGCCTTCCCGGCCGAAGATCGAGCAAAAGACGTGCGTGACCTGGATTTACGCCACGACAGCTTGCCAGCTCAACGTTCGCTCGGGGTATTCTGGGACCTGGAGACAGATGCCTTTACCTTTAAGGTATCTTTACCGGAGAAGCCATTTACAAGGAGAGGAGTATTGTCCATCGTCAACTCTGTGTACGACCCGCTTGGCCTTGCAGTACCTGTTATGCTCGAAGGGAGAAAAGTACTGCAGCAGCTCGTCCATATGGGAGAACGGACAAAGGAGAACAATACCCCCCTAGCCTGGGACGACCCCCTCCCTACCGCGATGATAAATCGGTGGACGCGTTGGAGAGACTCTCTCGTAGAGTTGCAGAACCTTTGCGTGCCTCGCTGTTACCGCCCTAAAGATTTCGGCAGCGTGACTAGAGCGGAGTTACACGCCTTTTCCGACGCAAGTCAGGACGCTATTGGAGCCGCAGTCTACCTTCGCCAGTTCAACGAAGCAAACGAGGTGTCCATGGCTCTCGTCTACGGCCAAGCAAGAGTCTCCCTGTTAAATCCGACGAGTATACCGCGTCTAGAACTGTGCGGAGCAGTCTTAGCTGTTCAAGCAGCCCAGAGAGTTATAAAAGAAATCGATCTGAAGATTTCTGACGTGATATACTACACCGATTCAAAAGTAGTACTTGGCTACATTACCAACGAGAGTCGACGGTTTTATGTGTACGTAGCTAACCGAGTCGAGCTGATTAGAAGCATGTCTACCCCGGAGCAGTGGAGATATGTGGAGACTGATTTGAACCCAGCAGACCTAGCAACGCGCGGAGTTCCCTCAAGCAAGCTAATGGAGACGAGCTGGCTAGTAGGCCCGGAATTCCTACGCGAACCGGAGAGAACCCTCTCAACAAATGAAACGTTCGCGCTCGTCGCAAGCGACCCTGAAGTCCGAAAAGCAGTGTTCAGCGCCAGTGTAAATACGCACGAAGAGGAAGAACCAGACCTTGGAGCAGAGAGGTTCAAGAAATTTTCTTCATTAAAGTCTCTGCAGCGAGCAGTCGCTAACCTAATTGTCATTGTCAGGGAATTCAAACACCGGAGAGACGTTAAAGCAGAAAGAGTTAACCTCAGGAGTAAAGCGCGTAATACACAAGGCAAACTCAGACCCCCGACAGTCGAGGAATGGGATCAGGCCCTGCGCGTTATAATCAGCAGCACCCAGAGAGAAGCGTTCAGTGGGTTGTTAAGCGACACCAGAAAAGAACCTGAGCTACCGAGATAAATCCAAAGTAGCGTCAAGAAGGCTCTCAAAGGCTCGCAGCTGTACCGTCTCGATCCGTTTCTAGACAGCTACGGGATCCTCCGCGTCGGAGGCAGATTAAGGAGAGCACAGATGGAGTATAATGAGAAACACCCGATCGTACTACCGAAGTGTCACTATGTCTCGCAGCTAATAGCTAAACACTATCATCATGAAGTACACCACCAAGGGAGACAGATTACAGGAGGTGCAATTAGACAAGCAGGTTTCTGGCTTATTGGAGGCCATGACGTAGTCACGAAAGTCATCGGAGCTTGCGTCCTATGTAAGAAGCTGAGAGGACCGCACCTAGAACAGCGTATGGCCGACCTCCCGTTAGATAGGACCGAAGTCTGTCCCCCCTTTACCAATGTAGGATTTGATGTCTTTGGCCCCTGGGCGGTGCAAACACGTAAGACTAGAGGAGGAGGAGTAAACGCCAAGCGTTGGGGCCTAGTGTTCACGTGCCTAAGCAGCAGAGCCATTCACATCGAAGTCTTAGAAGCTATGGACTCCAGTGCCTTTATCTGTGCATTGAGGAGGTTCTTCGCACTACGAGGCCACGCTAAACTCCTCAGATGCGATCGGGGTACAAATTTCGTTAGGAGCTAAGACGGAGCTTGACGCAGCAGCATCCGAGTTAGACGAGAAGAAAGTAGAGAAGTTCGTAACGGAGTGCGGTTGCAAGTGGGAGTTTAACCCTCCCCATGCATCACATTTTGGCGGTGTGTGGGAGAGGCAGATTAATACGATTCGCCGTGTATTGGATGCTATGTTCACTGAGTTAGGCCAGAGTCAGCTTACACATGAATTGTTGGTGACCCTGATGGCCGAAGTTGTAGCCATTGTGAACGCCAGGCCGATAGCAGCGCTGCCGTCCGACACCGATGACCCGCAGCCTCTGTCCCCTGCGATGTTATTCACTATGAAGACACGCCCAGCCTCACCCCCTCCAGGCCAGTTCATGCGGACAGATATCTACGCGCGCCGTCGATGGAGACGAGTCCAGTTCCTTGCGGAACAATTTTGGACCAGGTGGAAGAGAGAGTACTTGCAGAGCTTACAGCCGCGACAAAAGTGGATGGAGACGCGGCGAGACCTGTGCGTGGGAGATATTGTTCTTGTGCGAGACGAATCACAACACCGTAACGATTGGCCGCTGGGACGAGTGTCGGAAGTCCTGAGGAGCGACGACGGTAGAGTGAGGAAAGTCAAAGTAAACGTTAGAGACGGAGAAAGGAAAACCTACCTTAGACCAATTAAGGAGCTAGTTCTACTCCTGACCGACACGGCTGATCCAGACCAGCAGTAAACGCCAAGACAATATGAGTAGCAAGGATAAGAATCCTTGGGCGAGGAGTGTGATGAACAATGAACATTCAATCAAAGAGAACTTGATTACGTAATTAAGCTTAGTTTTGTTTTGATTTAGATAAGATACGTTTCTGTTCTGTTTCATTTATCGAGTTTTTACGCCCCTATTTTCATGTGCTACTGTTCACAGTTTGAATCAATTATGTAGCTAGCCATTCCTGTTTTCTAACCGGTTTTACAACTGTACACGTGAATTGTACCCTTATCAGAGAACGCCCCTTTAGTTTTTGTGGAGATCTACGGAGCAACGTCGGAGTTTTCAGAGCGGTTTTATCTTTTTCGGAGTTACGTAACGTCGGAGTTTCTCTAGCCCTTAAGACAGGATCAGACGTAAGTTTCAGCTTATTGTATTTAATTTTCGTTTTCCTTTCAATTTTGCTTCTTTTGTAATTAGCCTCAGCCCCTTTTTTTTGATCTTGTACATTGTAATTTCCCCTTTTAGTTTTCACCGCATGTGTACAATAATTCAGACGAGTTGGTGATCGTATTAAATGCTGTTGAGTCAACTTGTGCTGTTAAATTTTATACTGTGGTTGACACTTCCCGATCTCCAGTGCACAACATCCCGTGTCCGCTGCACTGGGTACGCGACGGGTGTCATATCCTATCTGTACCATTTGAAAACCTGAGCGTTTCTCTAAAGAATGGCTGTTTGAAAAGATCGTGCGAAGACATCGAGGTGGATTTTGCTTTGAACTAAACACGATGTTTTCTTTCCTTCTTGACTATCTCGGATTTGAATACACAACACATGCTGCCTCAGTGTTAGATAGGAAGACAGGCGTTCTAGGTCCACCAGTTGAACATCGCGTTCTTATGGTAAAAGTCGGAGGCGAGCTGTTGCTCACCGATGTTGGGTTCGGCGATTCCTTTTGGTTGCCTCTTCGTTTCACTGGCTTACAAGAACATCAAGAACAACAGAGTGGCACTTATCGAATTCGAAAGAGCGGAGACGACCATATCTATGAAGAAAAGATTAAAGTAATTGTCGATGAAACTGACCAAGAAGAAATTGAGAAGGAGCAGATTACAAGTCCTGAGGATCCGATGTGGGTGCCGAGATACATATTTGACCTCATACCAAGAAAAACGGAGGACTTCTTTGAAATGTTAGAGTATCATCAGACAAATGACAAGTCACCATTTACTCATGATCGTATATGCACCATGGCGAAACCCTGGGGAAGGGTAACTCTTTCAGGCCATAAAATTGTAATTACAAGGTTTCTTGGGGACAACAAAGTCAAAAAAGAATCCAGGAACGTTGAGGGTGGTGAACATGAAGTAGTAAAAGAACTGGAAGAAGCATTTGGAATTAGAAAAGACTCTTGTTTCTACCCAGAAGGGTAGGCCTTTTATGGCTGGTTTTCACTAGCAATAGAGTCGGAGTCGGAAGCAGCGTCGTAAGAGCGCTTATGAGTCAGCGAAAAAAAACGGAGTTGCATGCAGAGTCATAGACTCGACAGAATCGGGGTCGGAACAATCAGAATGTTCCATTTTCTTCTGACTCCTCTTATGACTCCATTCCTTACAATCTAGTGAAAACCAGATTGTTGGAGTCAGAAGCAGAAATGGAAGGATAAACCAATCACAACGCTTCTGACTCTGACAACCTAGTTTTGACTTGATTGTAAATGATGGATTCGTGAGCGGAATCAGATCACTGTTTTCACCAGATCGTAAATTTCTACACTTCTGATTACAACTCCGACTCTGTCGCTAGTGAAAACCAGCCTTCACCTGGATTGAATGGTATGCTGTGTAAACTTCAGTTGAATCACCATTGAGTGGCCATCTTTTAAGCAGCTACCCTCTATTAAGGAGCCAGTAATAAAAGTCCCAAAATAATCCTAGAACATTATGGGAACTTAAACCTCTATTTAGTGGCCACCTTTTGACCATCCCAATCAGAGTTCTTTCATTGTTGTCACCTCTGGTAGCAGCCATCAAGCGCTTGATACACTTAGTTTGCCCTTGTTTTAAGAACATGATGAAGAAAATACAGTCTGAAATAGAAGGTGACGACTGATTGTTTATGGAACAGCAATGCTGCTCCAGTCGCATAATTGTTTCAAAGTGAAGTGATGTTTCTGCTAACGATTATGATAATTTATGACAAGCCTCTACAGAATGGCCAACCTCCATTTAAAAGAGGCCACTTGCCGGTCCCCAAAAGGTGGCTGCTTAATGATGGGTCAGCTATAATAATAGACAACAGCATTTAAAAAGTGTGTCAAAGTGACTCAGAGAAAACAGTGGGGATAGTGAAACACTTGAAAACCATCAACAGATTTAGACTATTTAGGGGTGGGCTGAAGGGATCAGCAGCCCCTCTTTGTGTCGGATTTATGTTACACCTCCAAAATCTTATTGTAAAATCTCCTTTTGAGAGCCTGCACATTCATGCTCCAGAGTTCTTTAACAAATAAAATGATGCAATGGAACCTCAATATAACAAACCTCTTTACAACAAAGTCCTTAGTATAGCAAACAATATTCTATGCCCCAGTAATAGTAAATATGTGAAAAAGAACTTCAATATAGTGACACTTATGCTGAACAAATTTTGCCTTTACTGCAGTCAGTTTATCAAGTTAAATTTTCCTTTGGGACAGGACATTCAGGACAGCAAAACTAATTATACCAATGTAGAGGGGCACCTCTCAAGACTCTGCTGCCTATATAGTTATTCAATGCCCTTCGATACGGCAAATATTAGAAACTGTAGCGCTTTCAAAGTATATATACTGTCAGAAAGTTAATGCCTACCTATTAAATAACATTTGTAAATAGTTTGTAAATTGCATATAGGGTTGCATTACTATTACTAATCTTTGTTACATTTTTATACAATGAATATCCTTTAATCGTCCGATTTTATTGCTTCTTATATTGTAGATTTCATATTTTTTATTTTTGTGGTATATTGTAGATTTCATATTTTATATTGTAGCTTTTAACAGGTGAAGAGCCACTGGGTGGATACACCGTTAATAAACCATTATTATTATTATTATTATTATTATTATTATTATTATTATTAGTGGAATATAACACCAGATCATCAACAACTTCGGAAAAATTGTAAAATGCATGAATATCAATAGAAAAAGTTTAAAACAGCTTGCTGTCCCTTAAGAGAGCCTTCTTAGTTTGTCAGTTTTATCGCTTGCCTGTTCTAGGCTCCACGATAGAAGAGAAAGTGGAATGAGAAAATTGCACGCAAACCACTTGGGGGTGGGTGGGGCAGAGATGGGGAACTGGAGTCTGTAAGCATTGTTTGCAATACCTCATTCCGGTATACTAGCTCCTAGTATACCCTATGATTGGCCAATTTTGACAGCTTATGTCAGCATTTTAAAAAACGTCAATCACTTGGCTTCGCGCATGTAGAGTCAAACAAATCTGGCAAGCGTGTGATGCCCTTATATGCCACACATTTTGACACTTTGAAGGGAGAAACGGTTGTTCCGCAAGTGGGCATGGGTTCAGATGATCCGCTGTACACGTCTCTGTATGTTTAAGTGTTACAAAACCATGGGATTAAAAAGATCATGAAAATACTTTTTTAAAAGAATAGATAATTTTCATGACTGTAGGTGTAGACTAGGAAAATACACTGCAATAGTCCATACGGTTTTCAGCTATGTTAGGATTCAACTTACGGTAGTTTATAAATTAACACAAAGAAAGTTTGAATCTCAAGACTTGAATATGGGCATAGTCTAACATAGTCCCTAGGTGTTAAGTCACATGAACCCACTCCGTGTCATAATAACGTTCTACCTTTTCTTTTAAAAAACAAACAAGCGAACAAACCCACTCTAACCAAAACAAGAGGACCTAATAATGAAAACTTTTACTAAGATGTCCACTAAAATGTTCACAAATGGTCATAGGACCGTGTGCACAGATCTAAAAACCAATTTGACCAATAGCAGAGCGGAAAATTGCACGGAAAGTTGCGTTCACTTTGCTTTTTTCATTCCCATTTGATGTTATCTATGCTAAATCTGCCCTATACCTGGTGAAAGAAACCACTCAGAGAGGTTTTCCTTATGTATTTTGTCAAACAGTGTCTTATATGTTTTTTGCTTGTTTAATACAGGGTTCGCACACGCTTGAAAAGTCGTTGAATTTTAGGGGAAGTCCTTGAAAAGTCCTTAAATTTTCTTCAACTTTGAATGTAGTGGCCTGGAAAGAATTTTTTGATCCTTTTTGGTTGTCCAAGACAGAATATAAATCATAGCTCAGAGAATTTAAAGGTTATTTACATAAAGTGCTCTTTGTTTTTTGCAATAATTAACTATCAGTTTAAGACAGGTGGACTAAAAAATGTAGAGAAGTTGGTGAAGCAAACAGGTTCAAGCCTTAGTGCATTTTTGTACAATCTGTGAAATTGTATTCCTAGTAGGCGGCCCTTGAAAATCTAATGTGATCCTTATAAAGTCCTTGAAAAATGGTTGCAATTTTTTGTATGAACTCTATAATATGTCACTCAAAAGGGCATGGCTGTCTGTTTGGGTTGGTGATTTTTATTTTACCCCTTAAGGCTTTAAGCTAATATTGAATTGTTTGTAACTAAGTTACTTTTGCCTTAAAGGCGAGTGGACAGGTTTTGTTATGTTAGTGAATATATTTAGTTACAGTTTTTAATATTGCCAAAATAGTTGTGAGTTGTAACTTATTAAAGAAGATAGGTTTGTCATTATATCTGTTAAATAAAATAATTATCTGTCCTCATCTTATCCTGTCCGGCGCCAATCCGTACCGATTTTTAACATTCAAAGAAAAACAAAACGTTTGGAGTTAAAACCCCGGAATTTTTGGGAGTGTATAACGCAGGCCTCTCTAGACTGTGCTTGAGGGTTCAACAAACCACGACTCACTAGACGGCGGTGAAAAGTCTTCTTGAATTCTCAGCGAGCGCATTCAAGTTTCGAAACAGAAAGAATAAACACAAATGCATGCAATAGCAACCCTTACAATGCATGCATGCTGCGCTGTACGATGTATGACATCGTAATTAGTCGAAAACCTCCCATTTTCGTCTATCCACACGAAGACGCTCAACTGTGGGGAACATTGTAGAGAATCAACGTTTTTTCAAAAATATCCGCATACGTGTGACGGGGCCTAATGGAATAATTATAGGGTCACGGAAATTAACGCTCCATAAAAATTAGTTTTAAAATTTCACGTTAATTTCATGAAGCATTCAGACGGAGTCTATCAGGCAATTGAGTGATTTCAATTTTCAGTGGACAAATACCTTGTACCAGAATAATTTAAACAATATCGAATTTTTTTTTTACATTTTTCAAGGGCTATAAATATAATTAGTAAAATACAACTAGTGATCTATTATCAATGCTGCGTTCTGATTGGTTGAGCTACTACTAGGCTCTATCAGAAACTCATAAGGGTTGAAAACCCTTAAAAACCCCTTATGAGTTTCTGGCTATATGTTATAGCCCTCTAGTGGCGAAAAGCGCTGGCAATTTGGTGGGCAAAAAATGATTAAAATCTAGCTTCAGCTAGCTAAAGTTGTTTTGTCTCGATACTTTTGACCAACTAGTTGGATTTTACTAAACCAATTATGCCTCTCGTCCTCGTGGCCTCTGAGTTAATAGCCCATTCGGCCTTCGGCCACATGGGCTATTAACTCAGAGCCCATTCGGGCTCGAGGAATAATTGTTAATTAGTTACCTGTAATAACACCAAAGACTATTTCTCATGGGAGCCCGAGAAAATGCATGTCAAATTTCACAAGAATTGTGAAAACACAGGTAAAACTTTGAAAATTTCATGTGTAAGGTGTCATTTTGTGAAATTTGACATTTGTTTCCTCGGGCTCTCATGAGAAATTTTGTTTGGTGTTGTTACAGATAACTAATTACACCCATTGACCTTGAAGAATTTTAAAACGAATGCAATATTGTTTAAACTATTCTGGTACAAGGTTTTTGTCCACTGAAAATTAAAATTACTCAATTTCCTGATGGATTCTGTCTCAATTTTCTTAAATGACCATAGTCAAGAAGTACTAGAAAATGATTTACACGGTCGTTCAATTTTGTTAATCACTCGTATGTCGTGATTACAGACCGAACTGGACTCCACTCATTCCTGTTACCATAATTACTAATCGATCTATGCGCAATTGAATTATTCTTTACAGCTTACCATACAAAACTCTTCTGTACAGCACATTCTTACTCACTTATATATCTTTACAAAATAATCCTAAGTGGGAAGTTAAAAACATTTGAATATCTGATATGCAAAAGTTGAATTGAACCACGTAAAACATGAGAATAATCGATTGATTTACGTCAAAGCAACAATTA